GATTGATTAACGATGACGTGTTTGACGCCTGCAGCTGAATGTAATGAGTGATAGGGACTGAAAACTTTGTTTCTGTCATGGCCCAACATGTTGTGTGCAAAGCTTTAAAGAGCTTTAGGCCTCCTCTACACGCCCCGCTGCTGCTCCCTGACATCCTGCAGGACTCTRGTGTTTTTCACCTTCACACAGAGCCTTTCTGTCTGCGTGCTGGAGGGTCCTCAGGTTTGTGATAAATATCCAGGATCGAACCATATCTCTCAAAGTGCTCCGAGTCTATGTTACGCAGGTGAACCAGGTGACACCTCTCAAGACAGTTCAAGTACAGATGAGAAAAGAATCACGCTGTTGAAGGATTGTTTGTTCCTGCGATGGCTTCAGGATGTCCCTGTCTTGCTCTCAGGGGAAAACAGCTGCTGTAGATTTGAAATCCAGCTCTTCGTTTAGCCTCAGAGTGCCACAACCCCGTAGACTAAACACTGAAGCATGCATTCACACTCTGACCTGCTTAAATGACTCGTTTTTAGTGTCCAAATAGAGCAGCCTGTAGCCAAAATGATTTGCCATCACAAAGTTTGCTCTGAGGCCAAAGTCTAGCATAAATGCCCTGGTTCATAGCATACGAGCATCATTCATAAAGCTCCCACCACACGGCTCAACAAGTAAAACGAAGCAGACACTGAATCAGCAGGAGGTGTACATCAGACGGCCTGTCAAAGTTGATCAAGCAGAACAAGAATGTGTTACAGTAAGCTACAATCTGTCAGACGGGCTTCTCTTCAACAAAGCTTTGTCTGCTTGCTGGTGGCCCACTGACCATTCAGAAAATATTGTAGCAGAAGGCATTTTACTGCTGAATGTCACGTGGATTACTACAAACCCACTCTCCATACGGCCGGTTGAGCGTAGCCAATTCTGCCCAGAGAATGAGCTAAGTTCTTCAGCAAGACTACAGAAAAACTGCAGCAGATCCACAGGTAAGAACAGAAGAAGAATAGAAAGAGGGAAAGAAATGCAGAGGTAACATTTCCAACATGTCTAAATGAAACAAGAACAAAGTTTGCAGTCATACTAGGAGACTAGAATAAGCTGAGGATGGAACCACACTTGTTAAGAGGCTGACCTACTCTACTTTTTGACCCAAAGGACGTAAAATACAGCTGAGACTAATGGAAATATAAGTTCCTGCAGACAGTTGAAAAAAAAAGAGTACACTTGGATCAAGCAAAATTTGGATTTCTATGGCAGCAATTGARAATTAATTAAGTGATAGAGTGATTATTTGTTTCTGTCATGGCCCAACATGTTGTGTGCAAAGCTTTAAAGAGCTTTAGGCCTCCTCTACACGCTACTAGTATATATATA